CATAATGTCTAATGTATATACCAAGTTTGAACAAAATCCATCTTTAAACAGCCAAGAAATGGTTGATTTTTAGGATTTTTTAGCACAAAAATGGCCGCCATTCGGCCATCTTGAATCAGATCGTAAAACAAAATGATGTGCATCAAGGTCCTATAATGTCTAACGTATATACCAAGTTTCAACAAAATCCATCTGTAAACAGCTGAGAAATGCTTAATGTTGATGATTTTTAGCACAAAAATGGCCGCCATTCGGCCATCTTGAATCAGATCATGAAACAAATTGACGTGCATATGTATAATATAATGTATGATGTATGTGTGAAGTTTTATTGTGATTGGTCCAGGCATTTTGAAGATACAGGTACGCACAGATACCGGACGCACGCACAGACACACGGACACACAGAGGTCAAAACATAAGTCCCCGTTTTCTGACTGCGTCCGAACGGGGACTAATAATGTAGCAAGTTTGTATGTAATAATCATGGTCCTGACATTTGGGAGATATGAAAGTTATTTTTACAAGTGATATGCCAATGTAGTGGAGACGCTCATGCCACTGTGCTTGCTATGATTCAGGAATGAAAATGCCGACCGACAAATGGAACAAAGATAAAAAAAAATACAATAAAAAGTCATTGTCCCAGTTTGAAATATAAGCATTAGACATCGAATGACTAGTGAAGCAATATCCACAATATTGACTGATGTCAGAGATATGGCTTCTTGGAACTGCAAGATGGCCACCAGTCAGCCATTTTTGATTTGATTTGCAGTAGTCCAATATGATGTTTGATGTATGTGTGAAGTTGAAACTAGATTGGTTCAGGCATGTCGGATATATTGACCTGGAATTGTATTTATTGAAACAAAATGGCTAAATTTTGAACTTGATCCAAAAAATAAAATGACAAGGATCAAGGTTCCATTGTGTTCAATGTATGTACCAAGTTTAAACCAAATCCGTATATGCATGACTGAGATTCGGTTCTGGAATGGTGAACAGGTGAAATTTTGATATAATTTTGGCATTAAAAAGGCTGTCGTTCGGCCATCTTGAATCAGATTATTGAAACAAATGTACGTGCATATGTCAAATATACTGTCTGATATGTTCATGTAAAGTTTGAACCAAGATTTACGAGATATGGCCGAATACAGACAGACAAAGGCACAAAGGTCAATTCATAAGTTTAATTTTCAGACTGCATTTAAATAGGGACTAATATATATATAATACATCCCTTGAACATTTTTTGAGACAGGGTACATTCATGAGTTTTTTAACATCATTATCAAAGAATAAATAATTGTATGTGTCATTTCCAGGGCGATTTTCAAACTGTTTGAGTCATTTTTTATTTTTGTTTTTGATGCTTTAAAAACTAGATGATTTGTTTTTTAATTTGTATATAACAATACAGTGATGACAGTTTTATTTTTTGTTCAATTTCTGAGGAAAATAGATTAAGCTTTATCTGAGGCAAATCACTTTGTTGTGATATTGGGCTTACTTTGTACTGTATGGCACCAGTCAATGAAAGCAGCTCATAACAGATATACAAATGAAAGTATGGACATAAGAATAGATACATGTATGTATTATAGGTGAATATCAGTCCTTGATTGGGATATTGTCTGAACAGACACTAATAATGAGTTCAGTCTTGCTGCAGGAAGAAAACATAAGGTACACACCTAATTTTTTCAAGATATCTTCTTTATCAAAGCTGAAGGCAGGATTGTTGATTCCACTTTTGTCATTGTTTTTTGTAGAAACCACAGAATTCGGAACTGTCAGCCGGATAGTAGGAGTCATTGCTTCTTGCTCATACTTCACCAAACTCAAATTCTCAAGCTCAAGTTTCTCTGGTTTTCTTGGCATGGTTGTGAGTTTGTGGAACCTGGTGGTGAACAAAAATATATTTACATATAAGGTTTACTTGACAAGAGTTATCAACAAGGTGTGAATTTATAAAATGTTTACTCTGAAATACTCTCAAAAAGCAGGACTGCAAGACACAAAAGAGTGGTATTTCATACAACCATGAGACTATAATTAACCAATGAATATTGTCATGTGATTTATGATCAACATTATCAAAAATTAGGTTTTCTACTTTAAAGAAAGTAATTAAATTATAGTATATATATATATATATATATACATACGTGGACAGAGAAATTAAGATACGACTACATGAGTAAAGTTCACTCTACAGTACTGTTTCGTAAGGTACATGGAGTACCTCACTCATCAGGAGTTAAGACTTTATTAAATAAACCATCGAAACAGACTATGTTATAAGCGCTACAGATTTGCATAACAATGGAGTGTGTTTACGATATTAAAACTAGTTGTTGCATAGCAACGATTTGGCTCTGTGTCTACAGGAAGAAAAAAGCTCATTTCTTTTATTTAAACTACAGTAATGTGGTTGGAAAATTATAATATATTTCTCTCTAATACATAAGTTGAAACGTTTGCTTGAAGAATTGTATGGTGCAGCACGCGATAACACTCTCCATTTGATGTCGTAATCGATGTTATTGTCTTTTAATGACCAAGCGTATTTACTGAGCTCTGTTGCGTTTCTCAATGATTGGTTGCGTAGCAATGCTGTGTGGTTTCTGTACCGGGTTTTAAATTCATTTCCTGTTAGTCCCACATATGTTTCACACTTGTTGTTGTCTTGCCGTCTGATATTAGCTTGGTAAACCAGGGCCGATTGTAAACAATTTCCGTCTAAGGGGCATTCAGATTTCTTACGGCAGTTACATAATCTGTTGATCTCGGTACTGGGTGTATTGGTGTTGGCCGCTGTAAGCTGTTGTTTGTTTTGATTGCAGATTATTTGCTTCACGTTATTCGTACAACTGTAGCTCAATTTGATGGTGTTACGGCTGAAAATTTTGTTTGTTTCCCTATATATATATATATATATATATATATATATATATATATATATATATTATCAGAGGTACATTACTTGGGGTTTGCAACTACGGTGACATGATACCAAGATCCCGTTTCAATCTTGCTCTCGCATAAGCGTTCCAACTCAGAAAAATGCGAATGCACATGCCAAAAGTAACTAGGATACTGGGATGTCAAGTTGGATCAAAATAGCTGCTCACGATATAACAGATTACGATAACTATATTTTCTGTACATTTTCGATGTATTACATTTTTTCATTATGAATGTGGTAATACATGTTTTATTGTTTTATTACAAACTGCCTATGTCATGTCAGAAGGTCATAGCATCAGTCTCGCTATCTACGAGATGAGACTTGAATGGGATCTTGGCATGATGTCACCACACAGTACTATGCACGTTGAAAACCCCAAGTAATGTACCTCTGATATTATATATAATATATCATGGTGTATCATCATCTCATGATGATGTATAAAAAAAAAAAAAATGTTTTCAGGTATATACATTTATAATTTATTTTCTGGATCCAAAGAACAAACTTGGTAAAACATATTTAGCAATTTTATAATACTGTAGAATACATTTCACTTGGAATTTATTTTCGCTATTTTCGCTGAAGGAATGATTCCGTGAAAATAAAATCCAGCGAATATACATTTTTTTCCTATATTTTACATTAATCTCATCAAAAATCGGTGAAAATAAATTCCACGCAAAACGCCCAAAAAACCTTTTCAGCAAAAATTAATTCCAGCAAAAATAAAGTATTCCACAGTAAATGAGATACAGTGTGCATATGCTCAATGCAACCACTACATTACCATATCAACTCCTGTCAAATTGTATTGTATTGTATAATTCAGTCATACAAAACAACCAGACACAAAGAAAATGTGTTAATTAGTTGTGGACAGTCATATAAGAATATATTTGAATAAAGATTTTAGAATATATACTTGTGTCAAATTATGTCAATGACCGCACTTTGTAAATATTGAAACGGTCGTCAACAACCAAGAACATAACATTTACAGTCACCAAGAATTTATTACCATTATAATTTTGGAATAAAAAATAATTAACGTGAAACAAAAAGCGGTAAAATGTTAATGGCGACAAATTGAATTGACCTCAATATCATCGTTGTCACTCACGGATTGACGCGAGAGTAGCAACATGGCAACAACGCAACACATTAAACAAAACTGTTTTCGATAATAAATTACGAAAATACAATTACAGTACAAATAAGAAATTCATCATTCCATTCGATCAAAATAAGAAAATAATTGCGAGATAATTATCTATTGCAAATGTCTGAAATCACCGATATATGATGACATTTATAAATTTGTTTTTTTGTCATCATTTGACGGTACCACCATCTTCATCTTCAAATCTCATACACATTCATGTCAAGTAAATATAATTTTAACCTTACCCTTTCCAATATAGAGACGGTTTTCAGATTATTACTCGATTATCCTTTAAAACATTAACGACATCAGCTATTTGAAACGGTTGAAAATGATCTGCATAAAATCACATCCTTCGTGAAATAATAACCATATCTCCTATACACATTTTGCATTGCCTCCATGAGTTAATGAGCCTCGTTACGAGACCACGGTATACGTGAGAATATACCATTTTATCCAGGGGGCATGTTTTTTGTGTATAATTGTCTACAAAGATACATTTTTCTTATAATAACATTTTCCGTCGTGAAATAAGTTTATATAATTTCGTTATAATAATAAAGTAAACTATGGTCGAGTATTGGATGTAGTGGGTCACATCCCTGTCCCATGTAGAGAGATGTTAAAGCGGACAAATGGAACGTTCCGTCTGAACTTTTGTCCGGAAACGCTTCGGAATAGTCGGAATGACTCGGTAAACCCATGTCTCGCGAATTCTCGCGCGATGCCTAATTTGTTTTGGTTGACGACGTGACGTCACCGATACCTGTACCTCATACAGCGCAGCGTTCAGAATATCACCTGTGGCAGATGTTCACACGTATCATAGCTTCCTGTTTCGGAGGTTTACAATTTCCAGTCAAACATAGCAACAATGGCACTCGTGAAAACAGGTGACAAAACTGTAGCCACCGCGACATGGAGTACTCGAGACAAACGGAGAACAAGGCATAAATGTAAGTTGGTTTCCCGAATATGTTCGAAATCCGCCAAGTCGTCGTTCACATTGTTGACAAGAGGTTTGATGACGACAGAATTGACGATCTCCACTACGAATGCTAAAACCCATAGCTAGCTGCGATTTATCCCCGTTATTTATCTTTAATCGGGGACAGTCCCAGTAACGGGCGTGATCGTGTACAGTGTAAACAAACGTGTATTTTTATGGGGGGGGGGGGGGTAATTATTCAGGAATAGGGCGGTAGATATTTTATTTGGCACTAATATGTATGTAATGTAAGTTATCTATCGTCAAAAATACAACGCATAATAAATAGAATCAATATAGTGTTTGCCACTTATTTTTATATTTTCATGAACAAACTTTTCTATAGTACATTGTAATAAAGCTATATAAACAATTTGTTTTTAGAGATTGTTTTTTTGTACACAAGGATTTCTCTCTCGGAAACCTCTCTAAGAATTTGGACAAGTCTACAGCAGGGCCTGTTATGATTAATGACCTTAAGTGAGTGTGTGGGCGGGGCTAGAGAGCATCCTGGAAATCTTTTTTTTTTTCTGATTCTAGTTTTGTGATGTTTAAATCACCCTACTCACCCTAGAATAGATTGTAGAATATTCACAAATTACATGATGGATATATTTACGAATATTCGCCTTGGTCTGACTGTAAGCAGTAATGTGTACATTTTGTGAATCATGTGTATACTGGAAATTTGAAATGCAATTAAAAAGTTTTACTTGTAAATAAAACTGTAAAAGTGAATTTAAGTCTGTCATAGTTGCAATGTATTATTTATAAAATTACTCCCACTTCATGACTAAGTGATATCTAATAATTTGATAACAATATACCCACTAGTATAATTTTTTATTCATTTATAATAATATTATTTATAACTGTTATTCAAAATATTTTTTACATGTATAACTTTTTTATTTTCAACATAAAAAAAAAGATAAAGTATTTTATTTATTCCTATCAGTATGTGTGCATCAGACAGTAATCTTTTTTACTGGTTTCTATAAAAAAATTATTGATCGCACAATTTATTTGGCCCAGGGTTTGCGCAAGTATCTCGGCAAGACGAGTCCCACTTCAAAAATTTTAAGAAATAGAAATTTTATCTTGGATAACCTTAGTAGAGATTGGACCCCAGCTTGCCTGAAAAACTGGGTCCTCTTCAATAATTGGAGTCGGGGAAGCAAAATATGGGGTTAACGCAATCCCTGTAAAAATAAAGCCAAAGCTAATACATTAAGCCATTAAAATATTACTTATTTTAATCATAGAAACACCTTTGTAATTTGCATAAGTACACTACTGATAGAGTAATTACAGTACAATTGCCATAAATTTAGAGTGGACATAATTTCTTTTTTAATTTTGGAACTTTACAAAAGAATCATGTAGTTACTAGTATCAAAACATCCATGGTGTCATTACCAATTTTCATTACCTAATGCTGTTCTAAAGCCTTACACCTACATTATATATCATTTCACACTTATCGACATGCATTTGTTTCAAGTTCTGATTCAAAATGGCTAACTCATTTTTTAATTTTATATAATTTTATTGTTTTCCTACAGTGCCGGGAGATGTAGAAATGCCGGTAGTGAACTATGACTATATTAACATATTAAATAATATTGAGGGACTCAAAGACAAGTAAGTTACTAATCACATGGTTCTGCAAACGTGATGTGAATATATAGAAAATTTAAAGAAATGAACCAGTTTGAAGTTTAATCTCTGAAAAAAAATTTGGGCTGATACATATTATATTTGTACTTATTGGCGTACGTGTAGTTGTTTGAATCAATAGCCACTTTTACTAGAAAAATTCAACTTATTAATGTTTATCAAATTGTAAATTTGTTGTTATTACTTTTTCTTCTGTTAGAGATAACCCAGAGACAAGTAAAGAAGCTCATGAGAAATTCATGCAGAACTATCGAAAAATGTTTGTACAAGCAAATAGTTTATGCCTGGAACCAAGGGATAAAAATGAATCTGAATCTCGTAGAAGTACATCAGCTATGTCAACAGGTTAGTACATGTACAATTATCTTAGGCTGAGAAAAAAAAGAGTTTCTAGTAAATTTTGTTTTTCAAAATTGTCATTAAATAATTTTGATTTGTTATATTTAATCCAATGTCTTCAAGGTCATATTCAAATCAATATGCTAATATACTTGATTCATAAAAAGTCATTGTAATGACAGTCCTTTTCATCATTGACATTTGAAGCCACCTTTGAAACTATACAAAATGCTGGTAAAATACAAGTAACCTAATTTGTTATTTTTGCACAATGATACATCTGGACAGATGTGTGTAATGTGTGCCAATCTTGCTAACCGAGTACAGTCCTGTGGGACAACAGCCAAGCAAATTTATTTAAAACTAGTGGCCCATTTGTTTTGAGTTTTCTGGTTTCTAAGTGGTACATGCCAGAGTTGCTTCTGTAATAAGTAATGGATTTTTGATCAGTCATTCGTAAAAATTACCTAATCTAAATTTAAAACCCATTATATAGTTTGCTTTCATGGTATACATATGGTCATTATGTCATTTTACAACATAATTTTTTTTCTTTTATGTGTTGTCTTAAGTTGTTAGGCAAGATGCAAATCATAGGTGTGTTTGCTAATTAAGTTGAATTGTCTAGTTAGACATCAAAATGTTTTCTTTGATTATCATTCCATTTGCTGTATTATTTCTGTGCAGCAATAGCTTTGATGTTTAGTTTAGATTATTCGTATTCCTATTATATCATATTTGACCTATGACGTTATTACCGCGATCAGTGTTTGGTTTAGAACCGACCTATCACAACTTGAGTTTCGGGTCATATGATACTTGAGAACCTTGTGGTTTCACCATTATTATTATTTTTTTGTTGTTGCTGATGTTGATCGTTTCTATAGTTCAATAAATGTCAATCCTGACATGAAAGTTTCCAACCTATAGTATAGAGTGGCTATACTCTGAGCCAAATCACAGCCACATAAGTGTTAAGTTTATCCTGGAAATTGCTCTGATTCAGGACCTAAAATAAAGACAACTATGCAGCTACCTAATAATATTATTCCCACGTATTTCTATAATTTATAATATGGATACTGTGAAATTAAATTTCTCTATTTTTGTAGGTCATGTTAGCCACTTTGTTGGGGCCACTTCAAAGAAGACTTTTGTGCCTGCAGAAAAGCCTGCAGAAATGAGCCACAACATCAAAGATCACTTAGCCAAACTACACAAAGAAAGGGAAGAAGCTGACCCAACTGTCATTCAAGCCAATAGAATTAGAGATCTTAGGAGAATACTTAGAAAACTGTAAGTTCATCTGTTTTTCTCTCCTTTGAATAATTAATTGCTCCACTGTAAAATAGGTGTATGGTTACAGCATAGAGTGGATAGCAACAACAGTCAGAAATCTGCTGAATTTATTTGGGTTGTCATATAAATTCAAACATGTGCTACTTGAAGACGACTGCCCTGGAAAAAAATACCTAAAAATTGGCACAATGTGGCACAGGCATTTTGGTGGGGAAAATGATGGTGCATACAGGATTGAAAACTGTACTGTAAATATATGCGAAAATACAATTGCAATAAATTAGTTTAATCGCCAGATTATATGATAATTTATAGTGTCACATGCTGTCACCACGTAATTGATCACTATTGGTCCTATAAATGGTTAAA